CATAAAGTATAAGTTTACAATGAACACAGCTTTGTAGTCATTCTGGTCAGTTTGACAAATATTCCAACTATGGTCCATGGCCATATGTGTGTGTGTGTGTGTGTGTGTGTGTGTGTGTGTGTTTATAATATGCATATAAGTATATACTACACTCTAACAAATGGGAAAAAATAATTTTAAAAATATTCCCACCATTATTTTACAAATGATAAAAATAGTAATTTATGCCATTATTTTTCATGTCTCTTTTTAAAACCTATACCTGTGACTTTGTTGATGTGGGGACCTCCCAGGATGAAAAGTCCCTCCCCTGACATAAATCAGTGACTCCTGTATAACTTACCGTCTTAACGAACTACCTGGGGCACTGAGAAGTTCAGGCTACTTCCCCGTGGTTTTATAACTTAGTATTGCCACAGTGAGGATTTGAACTCAGGTCATTATGACTCCAAGGCTGAACTCTAAGAACTCTGTGATGAAAGGATTAGCAATTATGAATATGAAGAAAAAAGAGAAACTTGAGAAGACATATGAACTGATTCAGAATGAAGTAAGCAGGACTAGGAAAACCATATAAATTACTATAAATTTATGAAATTGAAATTTTTATTCATTCAATTCATTTATGAAAATGAAAAGACCAAAAAATATAAAACAGAATGCTTCGTAATTCTAATTACCAAGTTTGGCCCTGAGGAAGAGATGAAAAAATTTTCCTCCCCACTTCTTGGCAGAAATGAGAGACTTTCCCCCTCTCACTCTATAGAGTGTAGAATGCTGCCTTATACTGTCAGACTCAATCAATGTATTGGTTACATAGTTTTAATCTATCTTGCTGTTGTTGTTGTTGTTACAAGGCATGGCTCATTGTGGGAGGGTAAGGGGCAGTGTATTCAAAAATGAAGGGAACATTAAAACAGAAGATATCTTTTAAAATTTTGAAAGGGAAAAAAACACAAACGAAGAGGTATTGATAATAGATAAGATGTCAGAAGTATCGATTAGGCAATGTAGGTTGTACAGTTAAGACGAGGACTCTATAGTACACTTGCCTTATTTAGCTCTACCTCTCAGAAACATTTGCTTTTTTCATTCTCAAAGTAAAAATACAGTAGTGAAGCACCTAGCTCTGCAACTGGATTGTATATCTCATGCTGCTGTCCTAACTTTCCTATGAACACTAAAACTGAAGATTGTGCCCTATTAGTATGTGCAAATGCCTGGCAGAACCCAAAGGATGGTGCCTTCTTAATGTGCAACTGGATCTGGTTTCCATTTTCATCCTCTCTCTGGGGATTGGCATTTTCCTAAAAGAGGCACACAAGAACTCATTCAAGAACCACATGTTGCGCTGGAAGAAGAGTGGCTTTCCATTACAAACTGTTTAATTGCCAGCTTGTTAGAATTCTGAAATAAGCCAGTGGCAGAATAGTCTTAAGCACATTTTACAAAGTATGGCTCTGATGCTCCTTTCTCCATGTTCAGTAAATCTAAACTTAAAATTGGCAGCACTGCCGACATCTTGGATGGTAAAGAGAGGGCATAAGTGATTGCAGGAAACTGGCAACTTAATATCTCCCTGGAATTTGTTTATTTCCTCTCCTGACAAGTGGCATGGTATGTACAAGTATTTTAACATGCCATGTATTTTGGTTACCACTGCAGCAAAAAAAAAAAAAAGCCCATATTATCTGTCACTCTGCTAACACTATGAGGGTTTGAACTCTCTAAATGATAGCAGCATCTGGGAGCACCTGCTGCTTAACCAAGGCTGCTGAAGGTTATTACTACTAAGTATATCTGAACTATGACATAGCCACCCTACATTACTGTGTTCTTGCCATGTCATTCTTCCTAAAATAAAGGTGAGAAAGTGATTAACAAAAGAAGCTTCAGTGTGATAGAAAATATTCAGGATGCCGGAATTCAAAAATAACACTTGAGCCTCAGGAGTTCCAAGTAGGGAAGGCTCCAGAGCCTTTATAGAAGGGAGGAAAAGGGAGGTTATACTTGTTTATCACTGTCATTGATGACTAAATACATGTGGTAGAGCCAAATGTTCCCAAAAGTATTTTCCCCCTCTCACTCTATACCAGGGTCTGACATGCTACAGGGCCCAGAATTAAATTCATGTCATTGCTCCTGTACAGTGAAAGAGTATCATGCCCTTAAAATTAGTCTTGTCCCTTTCTGTTCACAAATAAGCTAGCCAAAGACCAAAAAAGATAGGTGGGCGATAAGGAGACAAGCAATCCCTCACACATAATTTGCTATGCTTAGAAAGGGTGGTTTTATCCCCCCAGGGTCACAACCCACAGTTTTAAGAAGCACTAAAGGGGTCATGAGTGAGTGGAAAAAGTTTAAGGAGTCCTACTTTAAAACACCACTTAAAATTCCCCCTAAGCAAGATGTATAAGTTAGCCTCACCTTAGTATCATTCATCCCAACAGCTTCCTTCAGATTTCCTCCATTCTGCTACTGTTCTTATATGGTCTTCAAGTAAGACCACCATACTTATTAATATCAATCAAATTAGATACTATGTGGCAAGTATTTTCAGACCTTAAATTGCTATATCAATGTTAGCTTTTGTTATTTCTGTTATTATTAATTATTACTAATGATCAGTTCTGAAATGATGCCTGGTTTGGCAATCCTCTTATCATCTTAATGCTTTACTTACTCAGCTACCAACTGGAGGCTTCATTAGGTGCCCTTATCACATCAGGGAAATGTTAAAAACCCAGTGATTAGCTTTGCAAACAAAAATAAAATTATTTCACCATTTATCACTTTGCCCAGCACAATAATTATCTTTTTGATGGACTTAGAGGAGGAGCAAACTTTATTCCAGACACATTCAATTCCATGTTTTCCAGATGAGAGTCGAGCAGGTGGAAACCCTAGAGACACTGTTTTTACAATGAGTGATGAGGCAGATTCTGATACTGGTTGTGAAAAATAATAATAAAACCACTTCTAAACCTCCACATTTCTTCTTAGCATAAGTGAATTATTTTTGGCCAAGTTTCCTGCTTGATCATCTAGCATATAAGACAACAACTAGATTAAAGAGTTAATAAAATAAAAGGTTTGGATTTGTGAATATGGTATTTGTGGAAGAGTATTGGGTGTGGGTGATGGAAGTGAAGGAAAAAGTGAGCATAGGTAAAGAGTTAGAAATGTATGTGGTGTACGTATTGATTGATACGGATTTAAGTGCCTACCCTGTATTAGCATTGAGGATACAAATTCAAAAGTGAGACAGCCAGGAGTTCCAGATAGGAGAGAGGAGGCAGGAAGAGATTCAAAGTAGGGGGAGCACCTGTGCAAAAGGAATGGAATGTTATGTATAAGGAAAAGCATCTAAGACAGTTTGGCTGGAGAGTGGTGACTAATGTGTAGTCATCCTGGAAAGGTGGGCTGAAGCAAGTTTATAAAGGGTTTAAATGCTATATGGGGGAATTTATATGTTATTCTAAAGATAGGGAGTCTCTGCAGCCTCTTGAGGAGGGGAGGGACATTGACAGCGTGGCAGCTATGTAAAGGATGGACTAGAAAGGGACTAAGACAGGAGGCAGATAGACCAATTGGGAGGGTATGATAACAGTCCAGATAAGAGATAGTGAGGATCTAAAAACTAGGACATTTGTGGAGTTAGTGGAAACAAGGGGACAGTTATTGAAAGAAGCTGAGGCAGAATCAATGACATTTAACATTTTGCAGAATATGGGGATGAGAGAAAAGAGTTAAGAAAGACACCTTTGTTATCAACGTGAGTGGCTGAAAGAATGCTGGTATACTCTGCAGAAACAGCAAAGTTAGCTGGATAGAGGGGTTTAAGAAGAAAGATGAGTTTCGTTTTGGACGTGCTGAACTTGAGTTGTCTATGGGACATTCAGGGGGAGCTGTCCAGCAAGCATTTGGGAGGAGTCCTCTGGAGATGAGGGCTAGAGGTTTGGAAGTCATCTACATAGTTGAATCTTGGGGAGCTGATAAGACCACCAAAAGATATATAGTAGAGAAAAAAGAAAGGCCCTGTGACAGAGCCCTAGAGCATACTTATGCTAGGGGACAGGACGTGAATGATTATCCTGCAAAGACCTCATGAGAAAGATCAAAGTAGTGTTATAGAAATGCAAGGAGGAAAAGATTCTCTAGAAGAAGGAAGTAATCATGAACACAGGGTTAAGTCACCCTTTCCCCATCTTAATTACCATTGTCTACCAACTTCTGGGATGTCTGCTCACCTTCCTTAGTAACTTAAACTTAACAAACTGTCTATCCACTACCTCCCATTCTTGGAAGTTTGAATATCTCTATGAATTACTTTTTCAACACCCATGCCTCACAGTTACATTTACATAACAATGATGGACTCAATGACCTCTATTTCAGTTCTGTTTCTGTGTCCCAGTGGTGCAACCACACCATCATTTACAACCTTTCCTCCTTTAGGACCACCAAGAAATTCCCCTATCTGATGACAACTTCTCATCTTCCTACCTCTCCCATTCTTTCACTTGTTTTAGATCTGTTTTTCATCCATATCATAACCTTTGGTCCTCTGAACCCTCGTATTTTTCCAGTCTGTCACCCTACATATGCATCAACTGCCTCTTTACCAAGCCTCAGGTCAGCTTTATATTAGTAATATTTGTGATGTAGCACCACCACTACCATCCCAGATTGTAAGCTCTTTGAAGGGCAGAGACTTATTTATCTTTGTCTTATTCATCTTTGTATGCCAAGCAAAGAGATATTTAGTAAATATTTATTGAATTAATTAATAGGAACATATATTTATGGCCTTCATAACTATGTCACATAACAGGATATGAGCTTTGGTAAAAAAAAAATCAATATATTGATCTTGGGGACTATGTTTTGCTTCCCATAGAATTGGATGTTACATTGTTCTTTCTAGTTGTGAAAACAATCTTCATTGACTGGTTAGGTAAAAGTATTGGTACTAAGCATTCATTTCTTTTTCTTTGCAGGCAGGAATGGTGTTAAGATGTGGATACTTCTGGCTGGGTTTGCTTCTGGTGCCTGGGACATGCTTACTTAAAGATTTAGCATGGACAGCGTAAGTGGACAAATGAAATAACAATGTAAATGTATTAATAATGATCATAATCTCTTCTGGTATCAGTATTATCATTCAAATTAAGCTGAAAGTCTCATCAGAATATTAAATGCCCTAGAAATTCTTATGAGATTCTTTCTATCTAAGGTCAGTTAAGCTATCTTGCCTGCATATGGCTCAATAAGAATTTAGCATTAAGTTGTAATGCAAACCCCATTCTAAAAAAGGAACACAGCATCTGAAAGACACAGGCTTTATACTCCCTCACACCTTTTGAACACTTTCTTCATTCTCATCCTTTATCCTTGGGCCTACAATTCCTTCTTCTTTTTCCCTCACTCTCTACCTACCTGAGTTTGCAGTTACCAACATTCATATATAATTATTTTCTTTCTTAAAACAATAACCAATAAGTTTAGGTCTCAGGAGCTCAAATCTTGAATCCCATTTGTGCTTTACAGGAGTCAAAACTAGATATTCAGTTATTGTAGGCCTGGCCTGGTGGTAAAACTCACTTATAATAAATAGAAATGAGGAGGGAAAAAAGACAGTGATTTCCAAAATTTGCTTCTCCAGCCCAAGAGTGCCACGATGCAGTCATTGTCTACTGGATTTTCGATTCTCAACCAGAGAATCAGATAAAAGCCAACTCCTCCCAAGTGTGCTGTCAGACTTGCCTGCAAGGGTTAGATGACTCCTAATTCCTGGTAGTGAGTGAATGGCACTGGTTCATTTGTTTTTGTTTTCTTTTTTAATGGTCTCAGTCAAGTAAGATTCTGTCATCTTAAATCAGTCTCTTAAAAATCCCATTACTGACCCTGAATGTGGGGATTTCAACAGCAAAGCCTTTCCACCATTTTAGAGAAAGAATGAGCGTTGATTACAAAGCTCACTAAGCCAAAAGCCTCACTGTCTAATTTTCTGGATGTTTTCCTAATGGGCTTTAAACAAAAGTACTTCTATCACTAGTAAGCAAATAATATGTTCTCAGATTTTAAAAGGATTCTTCACTTTATCGAAGGGATCCATAGCAGGACTCCTTCAAATAGCAATTCCCCAGGTTCATTGAAGTATTGGCTTACAGATAACCAAACACATGACCAAGGGTCAGGGGGAGGCAAAGAAATAACAAAAGCATTTGGAGCCCCTCACAATGTATGGTTAATAAGAAATAAAGACAAAGCATTTCCAACACGATGATATGGGAGGGTGAGGGAAATCATCCCAGTTTTTAAAATTTGATTTGTACAGTTTCAAGAATAGTTGTTACATATTATGAAACAATGAAATAAATTGTAAAACATTGTAAATTATAGCTAAATATGTAAGTGGAGTCACTGGTCTAAAGAGAACAATTTTTGCTTTTATTTTAGGGGTGCCCAAGCCTTCACACAAATACTTGCCAGTTTCTCTGAAGATGTAGATTTCCTAACCTGGCTACATTTTGGACAAAGCATAATTATGGATGGGGAGGGGGAGGGGAGACCCAAAAGTAGTAAATTATGGCTTTAATCTGAGGCTTCCAAGAAAAGACATCAGGTTTCATTTTTGTCATTCCCTTCCTCCCACCTTCAATGAGAATTGTTCTTGCCTGACAGTTAAGAATATATCTTTTGAAGAAGTTTTCATTTTGGCATTATCTTGACAACTGATGATACCTAATGTGAAAAAATATATAAAAACCCAAAATATGCTGTATAAAATTGTCAGCGACTCACTAAGGTTTTTAGCTATTGAGATAAATTCAGTAGTTCTCATCTTCTTGGGCTTAGTCTGGGTCCAGTTTTATAGATACAGTGATTTAATGACTCCCCACCACCACCACCATGCTAAGTGCCAAAACTGTGTTTTCCATTAAATGATGCTCAGAATCCTCTGAGAAAAGGCATAACATGACTCTAACTGAGAGTTGAATGCCATGCCCCACATTTGGTCTTTTAGGAAATGGCCCCAAAATAGCACAATGCAATCATTGTCCACCAGGTTTTCTGTATCCAGCAAGAGAATCAAGTACAAATCGCCTTCTGACAAGTGTGCCCTCAGACTTACCTGCATGCATGACTACTTCTTCCTGGTAATGAATGAGAAGCATTGGTTTTGTTGTAAAGTGGTCTCAGTTGATTAAGATTTAATCATCTAGAATTAGTCTCCTGAAAATTCTGTTGCTAAAACTCAGTTTTAGCCTAATGGGATTTCAACAACAATATCCCTGCCTCCCCTTTCACTCTCCACTCTCACCGCTCCCCCCACAACTTCCTTGTTAAAGACAATGTGCAGAGATGAGAAAGTTCACTAGACCAAAACCCTATACCTTACTGTCTGATTTTCTGGATTTTTTCCCCCAATGGATTTTAAGCAGGAGGCCCCTGTCACAGTCAAGAAACTTAATCTGTTCCCTCAAACAGGATTTTTTTTTTGCCTGCTGTCATTGTAAAATTAACACCATTTATATTTTAACTAGGATAAGTCAAATGACAGCTTGCAACCTCACCATATGGAAGAAGTAAAAGTACATTTCCTTTCCAGTGCCTCGGTCAGACAAAACTTGAGCGAGGACCAAGAGCCTTGAAAAGAAGCACTTTAGGGGAAAACGAAGAGGTGACTTTTGTTTGTGCCTGTTGCACTGCAGTATTTGCACACGGCTGTCTGTTTTTCAGCACCAAGCCTGTGTGTCCACATATGAACCAAACAAAAGATATCGCCTAATGCAGAAGGTGTACCCAGCAGTGGAGGGAAAGGTGGTTTGGGAGAGATTCTGCAGGTACTCTAGCACTAGGAGAATCCTTGGGGATGTAGACAATCTGCTTGGGATAGGCATTTTAGTCCCAAACCAGAATGGACTCTTGTTCTGACAAACTGAGTTCTATGATTTTCTTTTGTTCAAATAATCCAGCTATCATCATACAGACCACTTATCGCATACCATGTTCCTTTCAGCCCTGAGCTTGAAACATTTGCTGTTGAGTCAACTAAATCTGGAATGTCTTCCCTCCATTTCTGAGAAGAGGAAGCTTATTATTAAATACTTGGCTCAGTTAGTGCCACATTGTTTAACTCTAGTCTCAAGTCCTAAATTTCAGTTTTGGAAACCATGCAGCATTTTTCTTTCTTGCTTACCGTATTGTTATGAATACACAGTCACTCTGATGACTGAAAGCCGACCACATTCCCAATTTTTGAACTTCATTATTTAGGGGAAATAATTATTAATTAACAGTTGATATAAATCAAGGAGCATCTATAGAATTTAGTGTTAGGTTTTGTGACAAAGTATGTAATGAGCCAGTAGGACAGTATTGTGAGATTTCCTTCCTTCCTGGATTGGACCAAGAACAGAGAAATTCCATTCATTGGTAATGCCCCTTCTTATTGAAAAAGCTAAAAAATTCTGTCCCATTCCAAAGATTAATTTTTCTCAGCTATTTCCAAAAGTCCTTGAGGAGATTTGCTACCCCAATCTCCTGGGTCCCTGCTGGTTTTTCTATCCAATTTATCTCTACCCTTACATATGATTACCGTAACTTCTAAGGGTAAAAAGAGGGGATTGGAAGTAGGTGGTGCAGTGGCTTAGAGTACTTGACCGAGAGTCAAAAAAAAAATTCAAATCCAGCTTCAGATACTTACTTAGCTGTGTGACCACTTAACTAATGTCTGCCTCAGTTTCTCCAGCTATTAAATGTGGATAACAATACCATCTTCCTCCCAGGATTGTTGTGAAGATAAAATAAAATATTTGTAAAGTGCTTTGCAAACCATGAAAGACTATATATAATGCTAGTTATTGTTATTATTATTACCTTTGATTTAAAGTGCTTTGTCAGACAAATATGATCTTGACTAAAAGGTATTTGGTTACAGAAGTAGAAATCTTAAATTGCCTGAGAAAACCTTAACACTTTTCCAAGTTATTTGCCTATGATGACTTTTTTATATAATCTCCCAACCTGCCTATCTCTCAGCAATGGAAAATTCATTATTTGCCCTAAAATCATCTGTTAGAGCTCTAAAGACAGTGAACTCATTTGAGAGGATTTCTTTTTACTTTATTATATTTCCTTCAGGAGCTTAGTTATCATTTCCTAAATTTGTATTATATCCAACCATTCTTTCCCTTGCCATAATCCCCCATAGACACTTAACTCAAAACATAAAGCAACAAACAGCTTAAACATATAAAGGACAGGTAACTTCTGAACCATGTAATTAAGCTCATTTCCTTTTAGCTAGTATCTTTGTGCATGTGAGAGCACTCAGAAGATCTAATGTTTCCTTTTGATCTGCTGACTCTCAACCCCTATGCATCTCAGGGAGAGGAAACAGTTACCTGTGTTAAGGCAAAAAAAGAAACTAAGATAATGGAAAAGCCATAGAAAACACAAGGTTTCTAATATTCAAGTTTCTAACGAGGTTGAAGACTTAAAACCTACCCACTGGTCAGAGATGATACTAATACCTAATACAAACACAGAGATTTGTACCAGGGCCCAACCCACTGCTATTCTAACAGTGCTTAATACAGATGAGGGCTGATCAAAGTAGCCCTTGCAAATTTACTCCATTTAAAGCCTGTCTCAGAAACACCAAATCCAGATTCACATTCATGCCTCAGTGAGATGCCAGTGTACCAGTAACTAATTTGTAAATGCCTTTTGACCTCTTAGTATTAGGACTTATCCAATCCACAAGTATATATTTCCAAGCAAAGATTTTGGAGTTACTTGTCCAATTTTAGGACTTTTTTTTAAGGGGGGGGTTGAGGTGAGACTTGAATAGGTATTTAAGTTAGAAGACCTGGGTTTGATTTCATCTTGGTTTTCATATTTATTAGGTATGTTATATTGAGCATGTCACTTAAAGTTGAATCATGCATCAAATGAGCCTAATTAGACTTGTCTGCCTATCGTACAGGGTTCTACAATGATCAAAGAAGAGACCATAAAAATATGCAAATAAGTGCTGTACAACTAAGCAAGGTTATTATGAATAATACATCATCATGATCAATACCACTCCATATTGGGTACAATATGAGTCATTAGTAACCCACCACTACATGTTCTGAAATTTCTTCTCTAAGTCGTTGTGGAATTCTGAACACATTCTGCTTTAGGAGCAATGTTAATCTACAATTACTAAGAAAACTAAAGGCAAAAGATACCCTTGTAGATTTGTAGTATTCCAACTACCTTATAGGTTATAAATGGGTTTTTATGAGCTAGTCTGACAACCTAAACACCATTTATAGCATAGTTTCTACAGGGAGAAATGTATTCCACAACATAACACTAAATTAGGGAACATAGGCCTAGTGCATAGAGGTGCCAGAAACTCATTCAGGACCATTGAGAAGGTGAAGGAGGAAACTGAGAGGACTTGGGGTTGGAGGGGAATGTGAGTAATTTAGGAATTGAGAGTAGAGTTAGACAATGTAGCACTCCCTCTTCTTAGAAAATTCCAGATTTACATGATACAATAACAAATGTGTGGTGATAGGGGAGCCAGAGTGGGGTAGGAAGGCCCATTACGCAGAAGACTCCTGTCATCTAGGTCTTCATCCTTGAACAGCTCTCAAAACCTAGGCCATAGTTCCTTCAAACCCCCATCCCCAAAAGGATCATGGTGGCACCAAAGACATGTTTTCTCTTCCCAAACCAACCTCCTTGCTAACCATCTAGATGGTCAGGGGTCAGAAGGTCAGAAGAACCAGTTCTCAGTCTCTGGGAAGAGCCTGCCTGAAATAGCACAGGCCAGCCAGGTATTTGGGTATGTGAGAAAACATATGAGTCGGATGTTCATAAGTTGGGGAAGTAGTTTCTGTGCTTACCCTTTGAATTAAATGCAACTGGCCTGACTTAACAGATAGTCTTTCAAAAATGGGCATAATGAAAAGTATATGTTAAAAACAACCAGCGACATTTAGCCAGATTAAGTGGTAATGTTACTCAATGTTCTTTTGGATGTTCCATTACCAAACACATACTATTTAGTTTCCATAAAATTGCCATAGTTTTGTCTTTAAGCCACAGCCTTTTATCTGCAATGATAGTCTCATTGATATGAAGGTATTTCTTTTATTTAAATATTATGTGATTAGCTTTTTATTGATATGTTACTCTGGAGTGAGAAGGACAAACTGTATACATATATAGTGCATATAGAGTACTCATCAGTTACAGATTAATATAGAGTGTAAGAAGTTTGTGTTTTGTCTTAGAATTCATTTTGGTTAAACATAGGTAATGTATACATATATAATTAAGATTTGAAAGTTAATGGACACATCATGACATTAAAAATAATGTAGTCTATACAGCTAAATTATGTCTCATTGAAAATTACATAATAAAGGGGCAGTTTTTAGATATGCATGTGTATTATACGGAGAGAATTATATATATGTGTATGTATATATATAGTAATATATGTATAAGTTAAGAAGATAAGTTTTTTTAATTTTCAAAGTATTAATTAAATTTCTGAATATTTTATCATCACCTAAAAACTCTACAAATTCCAGCTTTAAAAATGAAGCAGAAAGCCTTCTGCTAACTTTTGTTTGAATCTAAGGATTTTACCATTGGTGATTTGGGTAAATCTGCTCACCTATCTTCCTTCATTCCTCGGCCAGATATGCTAAGTCTTCTCTTCTACCTTAGATGAATCTCTTTTGTGGTACAGCAAATGCACAGGGTTTATTTGTTTGTTTGTTTGTTTGTTTGTTTTAATAACAGGTGCTTTTTTTAAATAAACAGGGGGTCCTAGCACATGTTGATAATATCTCAATTCTTTGCCACCTTACAGCTTTACTCTGCCCAGATCTTCCCAGAATGCTTCTGACTGCCTTCTCTTCCATTTTCTTTGCTTGCCAAGTGGTAACATTCTAGGCCTAGAATGATTTGTCTCTACTTTGAAGAGATCCTGTGGCCAACAGATTGCATAAGAATAATGACAAAGATTTTAGTGATTTTTTTTAAGTATGTAGAGGTCATTATAAGAACAGTAATATGAATGGACTTAGGTAAAAAGTATGGTGTTCCAATATCTCCAAGAAGAGGTAAGCTTGTTTCTTGAGAGAACAGCTCAGAAAATGTCTGGAATTCAGGCACAATATATTATTGCTGAATAAAAGGTATTGTGGGGAAGAGGAGAAATTCTTAGGTATGTATTCATCTCTTAGTTTATAAACTTCATTTTATGAGTATCATTAAAATCCAATTCATTTCACAGAAGATATTAAGCTCACTAGGTAAGATAATCAAAGAGTCTAATGGAAAGTGGTTAGCCAGACAAAAATGGAGCATGGGTGTCTTGATATTTTCATTGCCTTCCAGGTTTGGGGTCATAGTCTTCATTCCAAGGGGGTGAACTCTGCCTGGATTAACCTCCCTACCATGTTTGAATTTGTGTAATAGCTGCCTAAAGGACAGGAGAGAAATGCCTGGCATAGTCAGACACCCCCAGCTCCCTTGCCCCCACAGACACACATTTCTTTCACAGCCTTAGGCTCAGGGAATGAAGCAGTATCCATGAGTGACCATTTGGATGAGGTTTGTAAGAACCAAGATGATCAGCTCCTTGAATCAGGTTTTCAGTCTTCTTTAATGAAAAGGTCTTTTGGGACAGGTTGGAAACATGTCTTGCTTGACCCGCTGTGAATATTCAGTGAATCATCAGGTCTCTCCTTGGAATAGCAGAGGGCTGGGCCAGTCCCATGACTTGCCTGTTGGGGCTCCACAGTCCAATCCTAGATCATTAGAGTTTTCATAAAACAGTAAGTATTCTGTGAAGTAGGTGAATAATTCTGTTCTTCATAGACCAGCAGCTAGCTCTGATTAGCAGCATCCTGGTAAGGCTTCCAGTTTCTATGCCCTATATCTTGCATGGAGGCTTTGAATGCCTCGTTATATCCCAAGCCTTCCTTTGGACATGGATGAACCTCTCTGTTCTGAGAGGGGAATGCGGGGTCTTCTTGTAGCTGTATAAACCTCATGTGTTGTCTTCTCTTTTTGTCTTTCCCTTATGATACAGGGCCAAGCATACCTACCATAAAACTTTGCTGGAGCAGGTTCAGGAGTTGGAAACTAAGTCCAAAGATCTGGGGAAAACTATGCTTCATGATAGTAATGGAAAGAGGTGGGGCAATTCTATCCTAATTTTTTAAAAAAGTATCAGTTCTCCCTACCCCTTTCCCCCTATCTCTCTCCACCTTCCCAGTTTTGAAAATAATCATGATTTATTCATGCTTTTCCCCTCTCCCCTGCCCCCCCTCCAAATTTTCACCTCAGGAAGTAAGTAAGTAAATCTGAGACTTTAGCCTCTGTCTCTATGGCAGTGTGGAACACGGGCTCTCCTAACCACCAAGCCTGTCCTCAGTATAGGCCCTTTCTCCACTTACTGGATTCTGTACTGTGGCCTGTCATCACCAAATTGAGTCCAGTGTGGAAAATGGGAAAAGCAGTCGTTCTGACTTAGGGTAGATGAAATCAGGCTCAGCAGTATTACCAAAGACAATTAGAAAGCAGAAGAAAACTCAGTCTGTTTTGGTATCTGGCCCAGTCATCCTCTGCTCAGAATTTACACACTGTTTGGTTTCTTGCTAATGTACAGGGCTGCCAATGTGGATTCCTCAGCTTGCTGATCTTCAAGGGCCATGCATGTCCTTTGGTACCATACCACTTGGAGTGGGCCTGATGAGCTTATTGATTCTTTTTTCCTGGTGGCAGCATGACTGTCACCTGAGCTAGAGCTACCCTCTGTGTTATATGTTTAAATGATTACACCTCCTCACCTCCTTTGCCTTCTGCACACCAGCAGGCCAGACATCTCTGAGAGCAGGTCATGCAAATGAGTCCTTGCTCACAGCATGGAACCATTTCATGGTATGTTCAGTTATGGTGATTAAATTAGATTTGACAAAAACTATATAAATTAGCAAAGAGAAGAAAACCTGGTGCCTGGGAAAAGTTTGCATCCTAATAGACAAGATCAACATTCTTTCAGTTTGGGATGTCTTTTTGGAAGTAAAGAATTATGCACGTCCCTCAGTGAAAAGAGTCCTTTAGCAATTGAATGAGCATTTTTACTAAACACCTGTTATGTGCTGGGTACTCTACTAAGCTCTCTGAGTATACAAAGACAAGAAAACAAAGTAGTCTCTACCCTCAAGAAGCTTACAATCTAGAGTGACATGACTAATCCTTATGTAATTTCTTCTGATTGATGTAAATGCCCAGAGAAAAAAGTTCCACAGTTTCTTGATTTATTATCACAAAAGTGACACAATAAATTGAGTTTTAAGGAACCTTTTTTGTAAACTAAAAATAAGTTATTAATAAAGAATTCTTAATAAATTATATTCATAATAAACTGCCCTCCCCACTCAGAAAAAAGATCCAGTGAAGAGGTACAGGTATTAGTATTTGGTTGAATGGTCATTCTGGAATTGTTCAATAGCTTTACATATAAAACACCCTAGAACTATATGAACATGTCATTGGATGGTAAGATGGAAACTTACAAAGCTTGTATTGTGTATTCATTGAGGTGTAAAGTGAGAAATTTAAGGAGGCTAAAGCACTCCCAAAAGTAAGATTTTATCATTATAATGAAAATTTCTTCACAAATCAAAGCAATATAGTACCTAGTTTATTATAGAGAAAAGTTCATAACTCAAAGGATTATAAATGGAAGGACAGGCATGGTCTGTATTGTAGCCACACACAAGGTAAGATGAATAGTAAATTATCTGTTGATCATTCATTAAATGCTCCACAGCAGAACATAAGCTATCAGACAGTGAGTTCTACTTTTGCAGCTAGAGATGTTGATAAGCACTAGAGACTTCTAGGCAGTCTTTGTCATTAGGGGCTATTTCAATTTTTAGCATTACCCCTCTTGTTTATTAGGGATAGGGTCAGAGAAGAAGCAGTTTTTGAAAAGAGGGAAAGAACTCTAAACATCTCAGAGGGACATGATAGAAAGGGAAGTATTTCAACTTTTTGCAAGGGTGTTATTTTGGGAAATTCGAAGGGATTTCTGTATTTATTCAGGACTTTTTATGATAATATTAGCAACATATAGTTCCTATTTGTAGGGACAGTTTTGAAGAGACAAATTTTTACTGATGATAATTCCTCGTTTAAAATTTTAAGGCAGCTTGAAATACTGTTTGACTCTATCAGGAGGAAGTTGGAGCCTACATTGTATGTGCATCTGTCTAGACTTTGCTCACCTTCCTCATTCATGTTTACATATTGTCTAGTCATCATAAAAACTTAACATTGTAGGTCATGATTTTGTGTCTGTGTCTGTGTGTGTGTGTGTGTGTGTGTGTGTGTGTGTGTGTGTGTGTGTGTGTGCTCAGTGTTTTCATAGACTCCTGTTTTCCTAAGTTCAAACTGCAAGGTCTTTTATCTGTCCTCATCCATACAGATCCCCTGCTCCAATAGCTTGCATGAAGATCATGTAAGGAATCCATCGCCCAATGAGTTTGTTTTTCCTCTCTCCTAATTGCTCCCAGATTTTCTGTGTGGTCCATCTGCAAACAAGATAAATGGGGAAGTTTGCTTCAGTCTGCTAGAGGTGCTGGCTTTATGCTTATGTCATAGCCTCCCAAGTTTAGCCTCAAAATTGTTCTTTTTTTAATCTCCTTTATGTGAAGCCCAGCTCTCTCACACCTGCTTCCATTGATATGCTTTCCCTTGGGCAGGAAAAGCAGAGTAGGGGGGAGGGGGGATTTCTTCAGCATTAGATTTGCAAGACCATGACCATACTCATAGTTTAATAATCTGTATAATTGCTAAGAGCTGCATTATGGTGGTATGGCTTTCCAGCCGTCCCTTCTCAGACCTGCTGAGGGCCCCTGCTGGCACCTCTGAGATTCGTTTTTACCCAGATACTTTCTATGGAGAAAAGCAAGTAACTGGAGTCCATTGGTATCTAAAGAGAGGTAGTGGAGAGAAAGACACATCTGTGGTAATCATAGGCTTTCCAGTGCCCTCTCCACTGGTTGGAAGTGTCTGCGCAAAGCTGCAGCTAAGAGACATCAGGCATCATTAGGGTTCTCTCTGGCTACTACACAGGGCATTTAGATTCGGGGAGGTGTCATCTAGTCTCTTGTGGAGAAAACAGCTATCAGCATGTAATTAAAGATGAAGAGCCCTTGGCAGTGAACTCTTTCAATCTGTACAGGAATGGACATGTTGGAGGCCAGTCCTTCTAAAAGGCCCAAGGCTGCCTAAATTAGAAGCAGGCATCCATCCTAAGTGTGAATCAACCCTAGGTGCTCAGAGCAGGGTCTCCCAAAGTACCTGAAAGTTCTTCTCTAAGAACTTCTCAGTAAACTCTACCTTGAATAAGAAGGAAGGAAAGTAGCTCTGTCTAGAGATCTCATGCTCTATTCCCATTAGCACATCTAAACAATAAGTTTATCAAATTAGCTGTCATTGAAATGTAGCTATTGACTAGCCTTAAGGGACTGAAGGATGGGACAGGAAGAAGCAAAAGTAGAAGGAAATTAAAGTAAGACAACAGTAAACTCTTGCTATCAGGGCCTGAATGGAGGAAGTTTCAGTTCAACAGTTCTGAAAAATGGAAGCTATAGTTCCTGTCCTAAAGGAACTTACATTCTGCTAGGATAATACATGTGCCCAGTGAAAAAAGAGAGGAGTCCCATGAGAACTCTGTGTTTTGGGCAGTAGGAGTACAAGGAGAATAGAAGGAAAAGCAATTGGACCTCTAGGCTTGAGTTCTACTCAAGTCAAAAACAATGACTTAGTCATTCTAGTACCTAAGAATCCTTAGTTTGACTATTAATGAGGTAATAGAGGTTTTAAAATAAAGAATAAGGAAGCAGAGCAGTACTTGGTTATTAAGCAAGATGATTTTTTTCCTTGCTTTAAATGTGTTCATTTAATAATATCCTTCATTTATTGGTACACTATATATTTTTCACAAACTGTCATATACAGCAATATCTTTTAAACAGCAATGAAGCAGCGAGGCCTTCCTTTTATGTTGCACAGTAGACAAATGAATGACATACTTTATACTGTTTTGTACAAAATCAAAAATAGATTTCCTTTCCAACTTTTGGGGGGCTTCCCTTTACTTCAGAAGAATGCCTCTCATGGGGATTTACCATTAGGAAAAGGGGGGGACTATCTAATACAGTTTAAAAATGAAAGCTTTAACTTTAGAAATTTCTTTAAAGGGTATGGCTTAATTAAGACACTTCATAAAATGATGCTTTGATCATTTTCAATAGTATGGACAGTAGTTTTTATTTCAGTGTTGGTTTTTTTGTTTGGTTGGGGTTTTTTTGCGGTGAGGGAGATTTGTTAGTAACACAAGCAAGAAAATAGCGGATGAAAATTTTATCTTCTTTCTCGGTTTTACTTAGTTTACCTCTCATTTAAACCAAGTTCAGGTCTGCAAACTAAGCCTTGTGCTAATCTAGTTCATTTCCCCCCTACCCTTCTAATCATCGGGGGCGGGGCACGACAGCACGGAGGCAGTGAAAGAACAATTTTCTGCATTTTGCTTCAGTCTACTTTAAATATCAAATGTTCCAGGTCCCTGTTCTTGTCTTTTACCAGCAAGACCCTGGGATTTTCTTTCATTTAAGTGCTTTTCACCAAATATAATTTACTCTTTCACTTTGGTAAATGTAGCTGCATGGCTAGCCTTACCCTTTTAGAGCAAGTTATCTTCTTTATCGCCCCTCCAGGACTGTACATGAAAACAGATGCATGGTCAACTGGGTGACGTCCCTCTTCTCCCCCACCCCCAGCTGATGCAGGCACACATGAAGGGGGATCTGTTCACTCAGTTGAGCCCTTGAGAGCAGAGTAAGGGAAGTTTGATTCAGCATTTACCAAGGTCCCCTAGCCTAGTGCTGCAAACTCCTCACCTTCAGGTTGCAGCTGAAAAGCCAGGGCCTGGGTCCAGGCTTCTTCCACCATGGTGTTCCTGTGGCACCTTATGGGGTGTTATATGGGACAAGGCCTGAAGTCCATCAGCAAGCTTTTCAAACAAGTAGACGACATTTCTTCCCACTCTGGGCTTGGTCTGGTACTAACATTTTAAAAAAAAATTGAAAATGCAAATATATTTTGAGTGAGTACTTGACTTGAAGAAGAATATCCCTTAAGGCATTTTGTATAAACAGAGAATAATCTTGATCTCCCAAAACCCAAAAAGCATTTGATACTGTTCTGCTTCTAAGACAGAATATGAATCTTTTAGGACATAAACAGTCTTACAATATTGGTATGGGAGGACACCTTTTTTTGAGGACGATTGTTTTGGCTTCTTAAATTTTAAATCCATTTTTTCAGATGTTCTTGCCATTTCAGTAAAGATTAGGGTTCCAATTATAAGTTCATTCTGTATTCAAGTTTTGTGGTGTGTCAGAACCAGAAGGAACCTTGGAGAACGTCTAGTCCAACCATTCCCATTTGATGAATGAGAGAAGTGAGGCCTAGTGATTTGTTTATTAAGATTATGTAGTTATTGTCAGAACTGGACCTTGAACCCAGGTCTCCTGTCTGCTAGTACAGTACTCATTCCACCCTCTTACTGTGCGACCTTGGCCAAATCACTTAACTTCTTTGTTTGGGAAGGCAACCACAATGTAGTGGAAGAAGTACTAATTTGGGAGTCAGAATACCGGGGTTCAGATCCTACCTCTGGCACTATGAATATGCCACTGGAGCAAATCACCTCACCTCCCTGGGCCTCAGTTTCCTCATCTGTAAAATGAGGGGGTTGGACCTCAGGGGCCAATTAGTGCCTTTCAATTCCAGATCTATGATCCTGTGAACTAAGAAGGAAAGAAGGGAAAACTCAGAAATATTACTGAAGCATGTTCAAGTCAATTAAAACCCAAGAAGCTAGAGAAGATGTCAGTTTAAAAAAAAAACAGTAAGGCAAAAACAATTAGGAGTTACCTGAATGCCCCAAGTCATTATTTCATATTTAGAAGAATACAGGGAGGGGTGCTGGGAATCAGGAAGAGAAACTGAGAGATAACTATCTAGAAATCATAAGTTTGAGACTGGCATTCTTAAAATAATTTATGTATAGTATCCTGGGAGAAACATTGAGGCCGTTTTTAGCAAGAATCAAGTTATGAGGAAAAAATGAACAATGGTTAGAAAGAAGTTTTGTTACTTTATGAATCCCTAAAGTTTAGAAAGGATATGAGGGGAAACCCCCATCAGTCAGGAGCTAAGTCATATGATATTATGGGCAAAAGAGAGATATGT